AAGGTGCGGGATGCTTGTCCGGCTTCTTCGGGGGAACGATGATTGGCCGGGCCTTCCCTGGAAGGGGGACTGGCTTCTTGTGTGGGACCACCGGGGCTGCGGGCTTGAGTGGTTTGAAGTCTGGTGAAGGCTTGTCCACTGTAAATGAGGGAATTGGACAAAAAAGTGTTTTCGTTTCTTCCCATTTTGACAGACTGTCAACTGTAATATAAACAGCAGACAGACGTTTAAACCACAAGCGCAGAAATTATCACTATGTTTCGTAAGGGGTGTGCCAAGTTATCGCTACCACGATGTATCGCAATATATTGCGATACTGCGATATATCGCGATATATTGCGATATAACATAGTATCCGCATGGCGATAAATATCAATATTTAAACAATAAAAATACAGTTGTTCTAAATTTTTAACAGATTTTTCGAGCCTACAAATGATGATAGTTTTGCTCAGAAAAAAAAATCAGGAGGTGAGGAAACGAGCGCAGTCGCTAACCCCTGCAAGAAAATTGGAAATTACAAAATATTGTGTTTTAAAATGTCAACCACATTAAATAATATATTTTTTTTTACCCACCATCCAAATACTACTACTTCCTTTACTGCACTAACCAACGATTAACTAGCAATCAATGAGTTAATCAATAAATAAAACAAGTTGTTCAACGGCCCTGGGGCCACTTCTGGCCCGGAGCAAGATGTCAATAATTATTTAACTATGCGCTAGATTGAAAAAATATATATTTTCAGTTGTTTTTGCGTGTTCATTAATTGACTGTACTGTTGTATGATACAGTATCTTTAGGGGGAAAAAAACTCCCTCCTGTTCTCTTAAATATTAAGGTTCTTAGTGCATATGTTGAAACTGCCAAGTCAAGTTACTGAGCTGCCGTTAACTAATGTGTTTTTTTTTTGCATTTTTTTCTTGTTTTTTTTTTTTTTAAATCAACCTCAAGCAGTTTATAAACCGTTAAAAATAACACTGTGAAATTTGACTTTCTCATGCTTTACTGACGGTCAAGGCTGCTGGGCTGAGGCATAAATTAGCAGATTTATAAAGAAGGACAAGATGTTTTCCTGATGTATGATCTTGTTTATTGATTATTGCGAGGATTTTGCGCGAATACGTTGTAAATCGCTGGTGAAAGGCTCATGGTTCAAGTCTATATGAGAGATCTGAAGATGCTAAATGCAGAAAGGTTTGTACAGGCAAGATACTGAAACACTACAGTATACAAGAAATGGAGAGTTTCTAAAGAAAAAGAAAAAGAAAAGTCAATGAAGTACAGTGGTCCCTCGTTTATCGCGGGGGTTAGGTTGCAAGGCCGCCCGTGATAAGCAAAAAAACACAAAGTAGGGATTATTTACGTATATATATACTAACCCTTTACGAACCCTTTAGGAGGCATCGTAGGATCGTGAAATATAAAAAAAAAAAAATTACGAATCTTTCACAAATCTTTTTTACCCGTAGATATAGGTTATTTCTTGAAATACTATGTAGGTATGTGTTACAAAATGTCTTTTAATTAATTTATTTGTACTATTTTTTTATGGTTTTCTTTCTTTTGAGGCTAGAAAATGCTTTTTTTTTTCCCCAGGAAATTTTTTATATACCGCAAAAAATCTGCAAAACAAGAATACATTTAAGATATAAAAAAAAAAAACCCAACTGCGATATACAGTGAGGGACGACTGTACCAGAGTAGTATCTCAAGGAGGACAGAGTGATGCAACGAGCGTCGCTTACTGCACCTTTGTCTTCTGCCCTGATGTGATGAGGTTTCTTGTCAGCGCTGGGAACTTCTGGTTTGGGAGCTGAAGAACGAAACATGGTCCAAAAACGTTCACTTGTTCGGGCCTCACCTCAACCTCAACTTTCACACAAACGGCTTCAAAACAAGCAAAAACAACGCGCAAGCACAATGCTGCACCGAGGTGACAGAGCAACGCCTAGCTAAGGTTCTGCATGCACGTGGTCTGATTCGTGTGAAGTACTGGAGCAAATCTCGGCAGCGGCAGGAAGTCGTGTAAAGACACTAACTCTCACCAACAGTACAGACTGCAGCACGCTGCAGCGGCAGATGGTTACAAAAGCAAACCGTGTCACTTCCTGTGACAGTGTGAGTATGCAGCTGCAAACTGTAAATAAACACTCATTGGCTGGGCTTGGACCAAGAAGGCAATGATGCGCAATGGCTCTTTTTCTGTCAGAGCGTTTTAGCGATTAGGGAGAATTTACAGCTGAATCAAACTGAAAGTGGAGACGATGAAGTGGTTGACTGGATAAAACCAGTCAAAACTATTTAAGAGATGAGAGACGTACGTTAACAGGACTTTTACCGTCACTCCTGTTTAGCAAAGCTAAGTTGAGCATTTGGGCTTCGGTATCGGATTGGACGGGCTATAGTTGTTATTTTTCAATGCTCGGTCCTAAAATTTTGACCAGTACAGATCATGAGTATCAGATCAAGACCATCTCTACAAGTGTTTCCCAAAAAAAAACACGACCCAGTCTTTGGGAAACATTGCTCTACATAGGCACATCTCATATACAGTACACAATGCAATGCCAGACCCACCCCCCAAGCCAACGACCCTTCCTATTGACATGAGAGACACGTAAGAGATTACGAAATCCTCCTTACCGATGCTTTTTGATGGCGGAGGAGGTTTCTTTGGTTTCTGAGAGGGAGAGATGAGAGGAGAGGTGTAGGGTTAGAGCTCTGTTCAAGCGGATAATGGCTTATTCAACATTGAAACAGATGTCAAATTGCCCGATTACGAATGTAGGTGTCGAAGAATGAAGAACCCATTTGAATTACCGATTTATGTCAACGGTACGTTCAAATGGTCTAATGACTGTCAGGAGCGACGGCAAAGTATTGATTCTACATTTTGACCACTGCCTAGTTAATAAAGTGCACTTAAAAAAAAAAAAAAAGTGCCCGTTTGGCCTTTTTGTTCGGCCCCCCAAATTATACAATTTATTTATATTATCATTATACTTCTGCCTTTTCCCTGCAATGCCTGCATTTCCCCAATAGATGGCGTAGAGAAGGCTAATTCTCTCATTTTAGCCTAATAAGTTCTGAATGTTACAAAAGCCAGTGTTGCTGATTTCACCCTTTGACATCAATAATGTCCTCCGGCTGCTTTTTTTAAGTGCCTTTACTCGGGACACCGTGTGATCTTGCGTCCCTGTTTTTCCCAGGGCTTTACGCTGGCGATGTGTACTCTTCTTCTTCTGCTGCTGTGACCTTCAGGGGTCATCCCAGTCGATAACCTATGACCATCGATCTATTGTTAGACTCCTCCATATCAATAGGTCATGTCTGGGCAAAAAGGAATGAATGAATAAGGAACTTTTGATTCATTTTTAAGATGCAAAAGTCGGATGGGTTTTTTTTTTTTTCTTCTTTTTTTTCCTCAAAGTGCACCGGCGCGTCGTGACAGGAAGTGGTTCAGACAGAAAGAGCTCTTCAAGATCTCAACACATGCAGGGCAACCTTAATCAACCCTAGTCACTTTCTTTTAAAGGAAACATAACATTTACATATCCCTGAACCCCTGAACTCAAGCAGCAGTGACCGGCAGATGCTGTCATTACTACGACCTTCAACTTTCCTTCTCTCCGCCTCTGTAAGCATGTGAATAAAGCAGGTAAATCAGTGTCACGCTTCACAGGAGCGAGTGAAGATGATCTGTTGATAACAGAATCCATTCTGATTAGTATTCATTGTTGGGGACTAATCGTACAAATAAGCAATGACACGACAGAAGAACTGATTGAACTTATTTGCTTTTCAAATTATCCACGCCATCTGCCTTCATCCACAGGGTCGCACGCCGCAGCTCCTGATTATCAACTGCTTGACCTGCTGCTCGTCCACCTAAACAGGAGCCTCTCTCATTCGATTACTTTTTTTTTTTTTTCCCCCGAATAATCAATGATAACTGATGCTGCCGTGGTATTTGCGGTTCATCAATATTGGCCAGTAACAACGTAACTGCCAAAACAATAGGAGTGCTCAGATGTGTTCTGACGTTGACGTATAGAAAAGAGAAAACAGTAATTAGTTGCAATTAGTTGCAGTATATATATATATATATATACAGACTTTCTTTATATATATTCAGGATTTTTGTATATATGTTCAGACTTTTTGTATATATATATATATCCATCTATCCTTATTTCCAGCTTTGTTTATTCTATATATATATATATCCATCTATCCTTATTTCCAGCTTTGTTTATTCTATATATATATATATAGAATAAACAAAGCTGGAAATAAGGATAGATGGATATATATATATATATGTATATATATATGTATATACACACATATATGTACATATATATATATATATATGTATATATCCATCTATCCTTATTTCCAGCTTTGTTTATTCTATATATATATATATGTACATATATATATATATACGTATATATATATATACAGACTTTTTGTATATATATATATACGTATATATATATATATGTATATATATATATATGTATATATATATGTATATATGTGTGTATGTATATATATGTATATATGTGTGTATGTATATATATGTATATATATATGTATATATCCATCTATCCTTATTTCCAGCTTTGTTTATTCTATATATATATATATGTACATATATATATATATATCCATCTATCCTTATTTCCAGCTTTGTTTATTCTATATATATATATATACAGACTTTCTTTATATATATTCAGGATTTTTGTATATATGTTCAGACTTTTTGTATATAAATTCAAGGATTAATTTCCTGAACGGCATGCCACAATATATACATGTATGTGTATATATGTACATATATGTGTGTATATACATATATATACATATGTATATAAACATATACTGTATATATGTACATATATGTGTGTCACACATATATACATATATATACATACACACATATATTTATATATACGGCAGATATATATGTATATATATATATATGTACATATAAATTTTTTTTTTATGTACTTGTAATTATCTGTACTAACAAATGGTCGGATCTGCCGTTGCTGCGTACCGGTAATACCACTCCATCGTTGAAGGATTAAATTTTCAAAATAAAACGTCTTTTAGACTTTATTCTGTTAGTATCAGAGTCTGAATGACGTGGATTCTTTTTGAATGAAGTAACTTAGTTAAACTGCAGTACATTTCTTTTTTTTACTGTGTCACACTGCAGCCTGATACCAAATGACCTTCGGACTGGCACCTGACCCCAGACCAAGGGTTGGAGACCCCTGGTCTATGTCAAGGGTCGCCAACTATACACGTTAGGGGGCTGGATATTTAAATACAGTGAAATAAAAATCAGATTTTTGTCTGTTATTATTTTATGTTTATGTTTGAAATCCAGTTGTTGCCACCAGGTGATGATCTTGAAGATTATGTTAAATTATATTTTAATGCCTCAAGGCTTGAAAACGTACCTCTTCTGATTCCTGTCTTGGTGACGATTTCAGTGAACCTCTCGATGTTGAAGACTGAAATATGAACACAAAAAAAAATACACCAGTGTTAGGGGCGTGGATATTTTTCACAGATGACAGCATCGCAGGTTTAGGTGTACGTGATCTTACATTTATTCCACATATCTTGGCAACACTTTAAAAGAAATGGCGTGAAAAGGTTGGGTTTAGGATCATTTTTCCATGAATCATTCATGTCCTTTTGTTCTCAATAAATCTGTTTTATATCTCACGGTCCTCTTAGCCATGAATTATTATGAAAGTATTCAGTCTTATTTAATCAACAAACAAAATCATTTGGTGCCTTTCAGCAAAAAAAGGGAGGCCGACCGCAAATGTTACAGCACTGGTTCTTGACCTCTGTTTCTTCTTCTTTCTGCGTCACTGCTCCATATCCAGTATCGATTTCACGAACGTATATCCACTGCTTGTTCCTTTCACGTGTGAATCACCTCAACCATATCGCCTCAAAAATACTCAACCTTTGCCATCCCTCGGGATCCTCACCTCTACGACAATGAGCTCAGTCTGATGGATTTCAGACAACGCTTTGTTCTGCCCACCAGCGATCACAGCAGGCCTCGCTACCTTTGCCGTAAAACCACCAATTTCAATTGTGCGGCTCGCGGGAGGGGGCCGCTCGTCACAAAGGCGGCCCGCCGACTGTGAACGTGACCTCGAGATTCAGCAGCTGCTCCCGATATAATTAAAGATACCCCCGGAATAAGCTCTTTAGCTTCGAAAGACACTTCACTAATAGTCAGGAGAGCGAACTACGTGGAAACGCATTTCGGAGAAAAATCAAAGTCATTGACATGCTTTTGTGAATCTATAAGCTTCTTTTGCCACTTTCTTTTGATTAATGAAGATTAGGCCAGATATCAGATTAGTTTATCCTGCTGCCAGATATGAAACGCAAAATATTCTAGTTGGTGAAATAAAAAAAAACAAGTTCAATAGGACATTAAATTCATGCAAAAACCATAGATTGCATGGATGGATGGATGGATGGATGGATAGATAGATCTCACCTCCTTCTCTGCTTCAGGAACCACGGTCACAAAATTATCCGGAAAGACGCCTTCTTTCCCTCCAAGCTCTCCTCGCCACCAGCCAGGCTCTCCAGTGTCCTGTTCAAGAAGGAAAGAGGAAAAAAAAAAACAAAAACACTCACGTAATCAGGCTAGAAAATACTTCAAAACACTTTAATAGATTTCTAACTGTTTCTCTGTCACCGCCACTAGATGTCAGTAACTTTCATTTTAAAAAAACAAAAACAAAACATGACTTTGCCCTTTAATAGAGTACAAGACATAATGTCTGTCACCTGACTTGGGTCTTGTAATGCTTTTACAGCAGAAGAAATGACTAAAAGCTCTTACTGGCACTTGGCATGGACAATAAAACAACAATAACTTTGATTTTTTTTTTTTACATAATGTCCAATGCAGCCGTCCCCAGCAAAGTGGGCCAGGTACGTGACTTCAGAGGGAGAAAAAAAAATATTGATTTCCATTGTATTGATTTTAAATGCGTTCGGATGTTTTATTTCAAAAAAATTGACCTGATGTCAAGACACACAGAATCAAAGTCTCCAATGAGCTTCTGACCCGCAAAAGAGACAAGAGGTGAGAAAATACAGTCCCACTTCAAAGTACAGGTTTATCACTACACGTGATTCCGAACATCCAAACACTCCCTGCATATTATGTGTCATCACTGTCATGCTGAGGTTAAATATGTAACATTACCCGTTGTATCTTTTACGGCGCACTACCGCGATTGGTTGATGAGAACATTGTCTCACATAAAAATGTTCACGACGGTTGGAAGTTCACCTTGCTTAAGACATGGATGATGTCACCTTCCTTCAGACTCAGCTCATCCTCATTGGAGGCCTCGAAGGGGAACAAGACTTTGCAGTATTCTTTAGCTGCAGATTACAATTGAAAAAAACAAAACAAAACAAAACAAAGAAAAGGAATAAAAATGTGAGCAAGTACGGTAAATGTAGTAAATATGAATATGAATTTTAACCAAACTGCCTTGACTTAGCACTTTTTCTTTTGCTAAACGTGAAAGACGTTTAAGATTTTAAAGGGATTTTTGCTTTTTCAAGTCCATCCTGTCATTTCTCTTTAAAATAATGAGTTGTTCCTCATCAAGTCCATCCTGTCATTTCTCTTTAAGTAAGAGGTAAAAAAAATAATGAGTTGCTCCTCGGTTTTGTAACAACCTGGCTGAAAACCGAGAACACAATAATTTGAAAATAACAGGACCAAAAAAAAAAAAAAAAAAAATTCTGTAACCCTTACTTCTTTCCTAGTATCTTGGGAGTCTTGGGAAAGAACATTAGATTATAATTGTTTTGGTTTTTTTTGTTTTGTTTTTTTTTTGCCTTAAAACTATGACTTAACCTCATATATAAGCCAAAAAAAAAGTGCCAGATTCATCCTGAAACTTTCTCAGAAGTATAAAGTGGTTCCTTATGTAACGTTAGCACAGAAAACAGAATCTGTTTTTAGACGACGTAACAGAGAAAAAAAAAATTCAAATATTTTGGAAACATTCTCTGTTAATGAAACATTCATTATCAAACGTAGCTCAATAAAAATCATTTGTAAAACTTTTTTTTCTATCAAAAAAAATCGTGGTTAAAAAATGTTTATCTAACATGGAGCTTTTATGACAAACAAAATGGAAAACCATGATTTGCTGATATATATATATTTAAAAAAAAACACACACACTTGCTGTGACAGCCATGTGTTTTTTTTTAATGCATTTTTTTTGGTTATTTACCTTTAGATTTGCTGTCTCCTTCTGCTTTCTGCAAATCTGTCATGGTGGGATGGGCAGGCTTTGTGGCGGAGGGTAATGATGGGACTGGCTAAAATGAAGCAAAACGATACATGTGGAAAATGATTCAGTTGACGTGAAGAGGGACAACATGACTTCACATACAGCAGGGCGGCTGTGGTTCTGAGGCGACTGCAGTGAAACGGAGCGACTTGGATCATCTGAATGTGACTCAGAGTTGAACTGAGCAGGGGCGGGGGGGGGCACGGGGTTTAATGTTGTTAATGGAGGTTGTAGTTACTGAAACACAAGGGGGGGGGGGAAAAAGGGGGAAATGCCAACGGTGGTAATTACCTCTGTGAGAAAGTCGTAATGTTGCAGCTCTAGTCATGACTCACAGCTTGTAACTATAAATGACCGCGTGTATTAGAAACGTCATTAAAAAAAGGGAAGCGGGGAAAAAAATGTGACATGTGCACGCCGGGGTTGGACCCGACAACCTTCAATCACTATTCACCTGGGAGCATGTGTTTAGTGTAGCAAACAAACTGCAACGAAAAGTGAGTGCAAAGACAAAGTATGACCAGGTGTGTGTGTGTGTGCGTGCGACAATCGTAGCAATGCAAATGTATACGGTAGTGTTTCTTTGGGGACCAAAGTTTTAAAAGTCACAAACCTTCGCGACTCAAGTCAAGACATTATTCGTAAACTCCTGGGAGAAATTATGCTAGACGACCCAAAAAAATAATCTCTTGCGACCCTCTTGAGTGTCGCGACCCAGTATTTGGGAAACAATGATATATAGCATTCATACTACTTCATTGTCCTTTCCTAAGGGGTAAATAAAGATCGATCTTTTTTCTATTTACCCCTTTGGAGTTCCCTGATCGATTGGTCCCTCTAGCTATCTATCATCTATCCATCTATCTATCCATCTATCCATCCATCTATCTATCCATCTATCTATCCATCTATCTATCCATCTATCCATCCATCTATCTATCCATCTATCTATCCATCTATCCATCCATCTATCTATCCATCTATCTATCTATCCATCTATCTATCATCTATCCATCCATCCATCCATCCATCCATCCTGTCCAACTTATCAGATCCACTAAACGTACCAAACGGTACACCTGTGGAACCCTATGTTTTCAAAGCATGTCAAACAGAAACTTGATAGTGCATACTCAAAATTGGGCAACCCCTAATAAATATATATTTTAATATATTATTTTTTTGTCTTTTTCCGGTGCATTCAGATTTCTTTTCGTAGCGAAAAATGTACCGAACCTAGATGTCAGAGCCGAGGTACGTACCGAAACACGGCTTTCCTCATCCTTTACAGCTCTACAGACAAGGGAAGACAATCCAATGTATGTATGAATATAATACCAATACAAATGCTGGTATAAACATAGTTTGTCAACTGGATGCTAATCACGTGTACGGACTAATAGTGGTTCCATAGTGTAGTGCATTGTTTCCCAAAGACTGGGTCGTAACCCTCAGGTGGGTTGCGAGAGATTTTTTTTTTGTGGGTCGTCCCGCATCATGTTTCCGAGGAGTTTTTGAATAATGTCAATTGACTTGGGTTGCGAAGGTTTGTGACTTTTTTTTTTTTTTAAACATAAATAAACAGAAACAAAAAGTGATGGCACCCTTGTGCCACTGCCTTGAACAAACAGAAACAAACCTGTTATTTTGCATAAAACATCGAGCTATTAACATGACGGACTGATGTTGGCTGATGGTGGCTAGGGGGTTTAGCACCCCATGTGGACGTCTGGTGTAAATGACCCATGCCATTGAAGTAACTTTGGTTACTAATGCTCATCACAGAGATGGCTACAGGTTAGCATTTAACAAAGGCCGCCTTTGAATTATTCCTTATTATTTAATTTGTGGTGCTAAGTAACACGTCTGATTTAGCAGAAATAAATAAATGTATTTATCTTACTCCAGTGTACCCTACAGCTGCTGACGCCATATCAAAAGAAGTTCTACTACAGCTGCTGACGCCATATCAAAAGAGGAGGAGAAGTTCTCGTAGGTTAAAGAATTAGAGTTAATTTGAACCAAGGTGGATGGAATTTTAAGAAAAGGACAGAAAACTCAATAAACCTGACAGAAGACGGTGTCTGTTCTTTGTCCGTTTGTTCTCAGAAACACAAGGGAACCGATGATGCAAGAACATTCAGGGGATTTTTACAGTTCGGTCGATTAAACGGACTTGGAGCGAACGTTGCAGGCTGGTGTGAAAAACGTCGTCCCCTGATATTTTCCTGCGCCTCAGTTCCTGTTTTCATGCACATTTGAATTGTCTCTCATGTGGTAAGGTATTTTGGCCTAACGTTTTTTGTTTCAAAAAAAAAAAAAAGAAGAAAAATGCAGATGTGTTTTACATCTGCTGCTTATTTCCTTTGCTATTTTCTGGGTTTTATTTCTCCACAAATCTCTTTCATTATTTGTAGCTGAATTGATAGCTCCACCTAGACCGCTGAGGGCAAGCACAGTTGCGAGCACTGACATATTTGTTGTAGTAAATATGCACACACATGCCCAAAAATATTTCACAAAAAAGCATCGAAAATGTTTTATGTGTTCGTCGTTGCAGGCTTGACTGTTGGCAACAGTTTTCTGCATCATCAAAGTTGAAGGGAACCATTTATCTTTTTAAGTTAAAAGTTGCCATTAGGGACCGTCTTTTTTAATTTATTTGGTAGATCTTAGTAGAAAAAAGAAAAAAAAAAAGTTCAACTGCCCGAAATCTGCAAACTTTACGAAAACTCTCTCGGGCCTCGAACTTCTATGTATGCAAATCTTGCTCTAGTACTTCTACGTCTTCCTGGGGTTAAGATGATCATTAACAGTAACAACTGACTTACTTTGTCCTTTTTGTCTTCTGATTCAGGGCTGGGTAGACGGGCTCTGAGTTTAACAGACCCTCCCTGGAAAATGTCTCCAAACCCGACGCCTCTGATTTTCTTGGGCTGTGCGATGACTCCGTTTCCTGAGGTGGACTGTGGTGCCGGGGGTGTGCCGGTGAGCTCAGTTCCACTTACGTCTACGAAGGAGATACATACATGCATATACATATAAATGCACTCATATATACATACATACATACATA